CAGCTACTCGGGAGGCTGAGGCAAGAGAATCACCTAAGCCCCAGGAGTTGGAGGTTGCTGTGAGCTGTGTGACGCCACAGCACTCTACCAAGGGCGACAAAGTGAGACTCTGTCTCAAAAAAAAAAACTATTTGTTCAATAAATGATAATAATAGTATACTTATGCAAAGTTTAAAAATGCATTCCCATGCTTGACCTTAGTTGAACACCCTGATAATCCCAGAACAGACTTTCAAGCCAATAAGAGAAGTCAACTTCAAGGGGAGATGAGATTCACTGAGCTCGTTTGAAAGTTGTTAAGAGGTCAAATTGTGCTTTCTTTTTGCTTGGTACACCCAGAATTCTGCCAGGCTACATAATAACAACACTTAATCCTTATTATGTGGTGGGAACCACTTTAAGTAACTTCACATGGATTATCCCACATAACCTGCACAAACCGCCTACAGGTAGATAGAATTATTTCTCCCTTTAACAGAAATGTAAATGTCCAAGGTCATGCATTCCAGAGATGGTATAGCCAGGATCTGAACACCCACGCTCGTAATCTTTATCCCATAGCAAGTACCTGTTAGTTATTTGTTGAATGAATAACATGGGTCAATAGTAGAGAAATCAAAATTTCCACCTAGGTCTTCTACATCCTCTTTGTCAACAAGGGAGTCCTTTGGTCTATATTCCTGAGGTGCTGGCATTCAAGCTCAGTTTGAAGAAGGATACGATTGTTTCATCAGGTTGTCCAGTGGTTTCTACAATTATGAGAATGTTCTATAGCTGGGTTGCCATTTACAGTAGCTAATAGCCCAATGGGGCCATTGAGCATTTGAAATGTGGCTAATGCAACTAAGAAACTGAAGTTTTCATTTTATTTCATTTGAATTAATTATCTTTTTTTAGTTATTGGGGATTCATTGAGGGTACCAGAAACCAAGTTACATTGATTGCATTTGTTAGGTAATGTCTCTCTTAGAATTATGTCTTGCTCCCAAAAGATGTGTCACACACCAAGATCCCACCCTCATTTGAATTAATTTTAATTTAAGCTGCCCGTGACCTGGTCCCATTTCTCTGACATTTAGTCGAATTCTCTTTAAAATTTGAAGCTAATAAATTCATTATGCAGTTCACAGAAAATAGACTAAAGGAAATATCTGATCAACTCACTACACAAAATTCAACATATGCAACCCAGCCATCAACCCAGAGATGCTGCCATTTGGAGGAACGAATTTGTCATTTATAATCCTAACCTAGGAGGGTATTTCTTCTTAGAGGATAGTTCCAGGCTTTTCTTATAATCCAATTTTTTACAGTTGACTTTATTTTCCCTGGTCTGATGCTCTGAAAGGAGTAAGAGACAGGAGGACCAGAGGAAAATGCAGACATTTTTGTCTTTGAAGTGCAAAATTTTAATTCTGAAGGATAATAGCGATTAAACTCAATTAGACATCACAAAACTCTTCACATCAAACAAGAAAACAAAACAAAGAATTTACACAAGGAAGAAGGAAGGGCAAGAACAAGAATATTTTTCCAAAGTAAAAGAGAAAAAGCATTTGCATCTTTACCTGTTCAGCAGGATTTGGGGTTCTTTCTCCCTGCGTTGCCAGCTCTGGATTTATAAAACCATTTTTAACTTTCTCGATAGAACCATACTCGTACTTTCCATCTGGCAACAGAAGGTGCTGGGGGGGGATGTCCTTTGCAACATCTCTAAGCGGGGCTTCGGGGATACTGCACAGGTGAATAATAGAGCAGAGAGTGAGCACCAGGGAAGAGAAGAAGAACATGACCTGGAATTCTGTGCCCAGGACTCTTCCCACTTCCAGATGGGCCCAGTCTATGGCACCCAGAATGTAACCCAGGGCACCTCCGAAACCTGGAAAGCAAGAAAGAGCTGTATTAGCATATTTGGCAAATTTTCTTTTTCATCGTGCACAGACCCTTCCCTTCAGTGGGAAAACTCCCTGAGGACAGCACAAGCAGCCTGGATATGAGTGGAGAGGTGACACAGCAAGGGGCAAGTTCAAGTCCTGGCTCTAGCGTTTACTTGCTGTGACTTTGGGCTTCTTCCTGTATAACATAGGGGAAGTAATAAAAGAGCAACCTACCTGAAAATAGAAAGTGTTCAGAACAGCACTAGGCAACTTAGCAAACGCTTAGTAAACATCGCCACCAGCAGAGATACCGTGGCCTTTCCAAATTGCGCTCTCTCTACACTGCTTTTGAATTTAATTTCTAGAACCAATTTCTGGCCACAATAAAATTAAATGTTTTGAATTGTAACGTATCTATTATTAAGCTTCCTGGGATGATGCAAGATACAAAGTTCAGACAGCCTCAAAACTCATGATGCTCATTCCCAGTTGATAGCTACCAAAATAACAAGAACAAAAATGAACTTTTAAAAGTCCTATTAGCACCCCACAGGACTCCAATCTGAAGCATTCTTGGTGCTTGTTTTATCTGTGCATGCTTAAATGCAGTGCTGCTCCAGAGACACTGAGGAAAGTTTCCCCCACACCCACGCCACACTAATGATCTAATGTTGGAAATCCCATTATTAGTTATTTGTTCTTCTGAGTTTCTGTTTTTAAATACACATGTTCCTAATATGGGCAAGATCTCACCCTACTCAGCACTGAAGCAGTAATTGTTCCTCAGATGTTCCTTCTGGCGACAACATCAGTGATTTTTGATAAAGAAGAGCACATCTCACTGGAGACATACCAAAGGATGTCCAGGAGATTAAAGAACTGAATGCCACACACATCCTCTAATATGTCACAAGCTTTGTAGGACTGATCCTCCCGTCATGGCTTACCCCATACAGATTATCTGCCTGAACAGATCAGCTTTATTTTTGTTTTTCACTCACACAAATGAAGTCTCCATTTTATTTCTCAGGTAAAGACCATCTCCTCACAAACTAGGGAATCTAGGAAGGAAAGAGAATTTAAGAAGCTCCTGTCTCTAACCCTAAACACCTTAACTTATAGAAACCCTGATCCAGGCGGTGCCTGTGGCTCAATGGGTAGGGTGCTGGCCCCATGTGCTGAGGGTGGCAGGTTCAAACCCGGCTCTGGCCAAACTGCAACCAAAAAATAACCGGGCATTGTGGCAGGCACCTGTAGCCCCAGCTACATGGGAAGCTGAGGCAGGGGAATCGCCTAGGCCCAGGAGCTGGAGGCTGTTGTGAGCTGTGTGATGCCATGGCACTCTATTGAGGGCCATAGAGTGAGACTCCATCTCTACAAAAAAAAAGAGTATATATATATATAAACCCTGATCCCAAGAACACAGCACTGAATGCCAAGTACCGTCAATCTTAATTGTGCAGAGTACCAGGAGAATGGATGATTTGGGCCACTTTGCATTCTGGTTAGTTGGGATTTCACATACAGACTATAGATGACAAATAATCATTGGATTATAAAAATAAGGCATCAGTAGCACTCCTGAGTGTCCGAGTATTTTAAGATAGAGTTATAAGAAATTGTGACCTGGGCAGCACCTGTGGATCAGTGAGTAAGGCCCTGACCCCATGTACCGCAGATGGTGGGTTCAAACTCAGCCCCGGCCAAACTGCAACAAAAAATAGCCATAGCCAGGCATTGAGGTAGGCAACTGTAGCCCCAGCTACTTGGGAAGCTGAGGCAGGGGAATTGCTGCCAGTAGCTGTAGTCCCAGCTACTCAGGAGGCTGAGGCAAGAGAATCACCTAAGCCCAAGAGCTGGAGGTTGCTGTGAGCTGTGACACCACAGCACTCTACCAAGGGTGACAAAGTAAGACTCTCTGTAAAAAAACAAAGAAAGAGGCTCTGCGCCTATGGCTAAAGTGGCTAAGGCGCCAGCCACATACACCTAAGGTGGTGGGTTCAAATCCAGCCAGGCCCGCCAAACAACAATGATGCCTGCAACCAAAAAATAGCCGAGTGTTGTGGCGGGCGCCTGTGGTCCCAGTTACTTGGGAGGCTGAGGCAGAGATTTGCTTGAGCCCAGGAGTTGGAATTTTCTGTGAGCTGTGATGCCATGGCATTCTACCCAGGGGAACAGCTTGAGGCGCTGTCTAAAAAAAAAGAAAGAAAGAAATTGTGACCAATGGGATACAATAAAATAAGAGATATATTCTCTGGCAGTAGTGCAGTCTAGGGTCTAGTTATGGGTGACGGGCGTATACATAAGAAGATATAGGACAGGGAATGGTGAAATGCCAGGATCTGAGGGAAGGATTTAAGGCAGCCTACACTCTATGACTGATTCAGAAGAAAGTTCTGGGATTTGTGGTGCCTCTGGTTATTATTGGACAAAGACTCTTTTTATTATTCAGTTGTGGAGATGCAGAAGTCATGGGTCAAGCCAAGCAATTAACCAATAAGAACGTGTTAAACATTCCCTTGTTACAATAACCAAAAGTGTGTCCAGACATTACCAAATGACCTGGTGGGATCTGTGGGTGTAAAGCAGCCTCCAGCTAAGAACCCCTGAGATAAATGAACCCTCTGACAAATTTACACATTCCTTTTGGGAAACTATTTATAAATAGATCAATGGTTGCCATGTTGCCATTTTGCCATTTGATTCTCCTGTCCCTTATGCCGCTATCTTTCTTTTTTGAGACAGAGTCTCACTTGGTCACCCTTGGTAGAGTACTGTGTCGTCATAGCTCACAGCAACCTCAAACTCTTGGGCTCAAGCGATCCTTTTGCCTCAACCTCCTGAGTAGCTGGGACTATAGGCGCCTGCTACAACACCTGGCTATTTTTAAAAGATGGAGTCTCACTCTTTCTCAGGCTGGTCCTAAACTTCTGAGCTCAGGCAATCCACCCACCTCAGCCTCCCAGAGTGCTAGGATGACAGGCCTGAGCCACCATACACAGCCCTATCTTTCAAACACATTGTACTACTGAGCATCTCAGTAGATTGGCTTAGCTGGGGGAAGGTGGAATACAAGACTCCTGCCTTTTGAAAGATAAATATATGTGTAATTTACTGTGCAATGGGATGGTAGTTTTATTTGATGGATAAAAATATACACTATAAATATGTGGCTGGATTCATATTAGAGACTGACTTGGATGATTGAGTTCTATGATTGGAGGGTTTCTTAATTCAGTTGTATGTCTACTGGTTTAGTTTAGTTCAATAAATATTTATTAAGCACTAAATATATATAAAAGGACTCTACTAGCTTTGCCGGGGATATAAAGATAAATAAGACATGGTTTCCCATCCTTTTCCCCAGAAGGTAGTTTCAAGTGGGAGATGCTGATGAGCTACTTTGAAAAACCTGTAATGAAAATGCTTTGTTCGTCCCAAAGCTACCGTGGAAAGTAGCTACAAGTTACACCAGGACATGCCAGGAAGTTACAGCAGGCCACTGGGGAAATCATTCTAATAGGATACTAAAATACTGGAAAGAAACATTTAAGCTTTATCTATTTATACCTTTATATATAATGACAGCCAGTAGAGGGCTGTATGAATTCACTGAGGGCTTTCCTGTTTCTTCCTCTGTTTAGGCCAAGGATTTTATCTTCAAAGATAGTCTTCCAAGCAAAGCCGAGTCATCTTAGCAGTAACAAAGGCTGATAGTTTTATCATTTTGCCACCCCCACATCTCTATCCAGACTGCATTCATCTCTACTGCCACAATCGGCCTCATGGGGTCCCCGGAATCAATCACAGGCTACTGAACAAGCAATAAGACAGAGTATTCAAAGGACAGCTGCTGCCACATTAGATGACAAGTCTTTACATGGAAGAGCCCAGAAGGTGATTGCCAAGCCAAGATGTGCTGTCAAACCCAGATGAGAGCTAGCCTCAGGAGAAGAAATGGCTTTAGCAGACAGATGTCATATTCTGCAACTAATCATACAACCTGAACAAATGGTTCATCCTGGAAGAAGTCCAAGTATATAGAATTATGTACATCTTTTTTCTTTAGTCCTAATTTCCCATTTTACCTGTTACAACTACAGGAAATTGGGGAATTGCCAGGGCCAAGGAAACTAAAGAGAGTCTATCTAAATCAGACTCTGACCCTGCCATGTGCTTGTCATTGCCTCCCTGCCAAGGCGTGTGGCTTAGCCAGCTCAGCACGGATGGCAACACAGCTAGGAGGAGGCCAGACCAAAGACCCCGCACAACCGAGGGGGCTCATGATGGGGCAATTCAGATTCTTTTCTTTATGTTGAGAAAATAGAAGCAAAAGTGTCAGGTTAGGTGTGTAGATCCCACCTATTCCCACCACAAACACACTGAATGCTGGAGAGTTAATGTCAGTCCCAACTACTGTGCATATGAGTGTGTCTGCAAGTGTGTGTATGCTTGTGTGTGAATGTGTGTGAGTCTATGCATGAGTGGTTGAGTGTGTGAGAGTGGGTGAGTCTATGTATATGTCCATGTGAGTGTGTGAGAGTCTGTTATGAGTGTGTGTATGTGTGTTAGTGTATGTATAAGAGTGTGAGTGTATGTGTATCAGTGTGTATGTCAGTGTGTGTTCATGAGTGTGAGTGTGTGTGAGAGTATGTGTATGTATGTCAATGTGTGTGAATAGTGTATGTGTGAGTTTATGTGTATGCATGTATGTGAGTGTGTGTATGTGTGACTGCATGTGTGAGAATGTGAGTGAATATGTGTATCAAAGTATGTGTGTGTGTCTGTAAGTATGTATGTGAGTATGTGTGTGAGTGTATAAGTGTGTGTATATCAGTGTATGAGTATGTATATGTGTGTACGTGTGTGTATATGTGTGTGGGTGTCCTTGGCTTCACTTTCTTTGTTTTTTTTTTTTTTTTGAAACAGTCTCAAGCTGTTGCCCTCAATAGAGTGATGTGGCATCACAGCTCACAGCAACCTCAAACTTTGGGCTTAAGTG